AGACCCATCCCAAAATAGGATTTGAATAAATCAATAGCCAAACAACATTACCACAATGCTGGCTGAGAAAAATGGTATCAGCAGTAAGAATTAATGAGAACACCACAGAACGTAAAGGTTTTTTCTTTTTTCCCTTCATCCTGGAGACAGTGACAGTTAGTGTCTGTTTAAAATACTCCTCACCACTAATTATATATAATTTTGATGGCAGACCACCTGTCTTCATTAAGATGATGAATTAAAATTTTGTGCTTATATTGAAGCTTTTTAAAAACTACTCAGGATTGTGCTTAAAGGCAGAGGTAACTGGAAAAATTAAGTCAAGACCCTCTGATTTATTTATCCAAGAGATTACAGTTTGACATTTGCGTGATTTCCAAGAAAGTAATTTTACTGCCTGAAGACAACAGCAGAACCAACACAACAAATAGGGTGCATTTTCCCATTTAGTAATTAAATAAGCAAGCCTTTTATGGATAAAATGCAAACAGTAGTAATTTATTGTAAACGAATCTTAATTCCTTTCAGATTAGATTATCTAATAACAGAGATATTTCTTAACCTAGTATCTGAAGTTATGGGAAAGGAATTAATAAAAAGAGATACTGTTTTCCTGTAGGTGGGTATAAAATCTATGTGTATATCTACAGCTTAAGACTATCTTGATGTTTTCTAGCCCTGCTCCTGTCTCTCCTGACAGCAATAACATGAAAATGACAGAAAAACAGCTCTTTAGAAGTATCTCAGTGAAGATTTGAAATGCACGTACAACGCGAAAATCCTACAGAACAGTTCTCCAGTTACCTGAAACCAACTGTAGCTCCATCAGAACCAGGTTACAAAAAAGGACCAAATGTTCTTCATGAGCATTCATCACATGTTTTAAAACACGGGGTTAACCTCGCCACGCTCAGCCCTCCGGAGTCGGTCAGCACCGCTGCACAAGTGTGCTTTGACTGTTTTTATGGTTCATAAATCAGTCGCTGACCAATTTCCAGTTGTAGTTTGTCAGAGTTAATTGCAGAAGGAACAGCTTGACTTTTAGAACCAATTAGGCAATCACAATACCCAGATCCACTTCTTCCTTTATTTTTTAAAATCAATCACCCAAGATAATTCTATAGCAAAGTGAAAACAAGCATTTGAGGGAAAGCTGATGAATACTAGGGGGGCCTATCTTAACTAGGCCGATGATACTCACAGTGAATAAGGTACAAGGAAGTACACGTTGAGGACTAACAGGAGTTACTGAAGCACTTTTGAGTTGGAAATTGGAATTATTGAGAGGGAAGAAGCAGGGTATGAGAGCAACAAGAGCATTATTTCGTACTCTGTATTTAAAAGCTGGTATGGGCAGTGAAATTACAACCTGAGAACAGCATGGCATTAAAACCACCTATTTGCTTTCCACCTGGGAAACTTCCGTTTTGACCATCAGACCTAAAAGCAGGAGAAAAGTGAGTTCAAATAGTCCGAGCAGAGGCCCAAAATAACTGCAGCAGTCCTTCACGTTATGAATGCTCTGGTTTAAAGATGAAAGCAGCACACAGTAAAATGCTGCAGAACGTAACACGATGGAGAGTGAAAGGTAAGTAAGCTCCTGTTGCTAACTCATAACTAGTTTATGAGGAAGTGAAAGATTACACAAAGATCAGTTAGAAAGCATCGCACCAGTTTTTACACAATCCATAAGCAAACAGCTACCAGAAATTATCTAAGAATTTAGGATTTTGGACTGTTTCTACAGATAAACATTTACAATTGCATCAACAGTGATCTGAAAAAGCGTATCTTGACTGTTTTAAAACATTAATCTACTAATGCTCTATTTCAGGGTTCAAGCCCAACTTTCTTAATAACCAGATAAGAAAGTATCTAACACAGGAATTCAGAAATAGTACATCCTTCAGTGCTTTCACTAGTACACACTCAGTAACTTCAAGAGAATTCAATCATGGATGAGATGACACTGAGTGCAACAAAACACTAGAAAATAAAATTGAGTTAGCTTTTTCTCCCCCTTAAGAATTCTCTACATTGTTAAAACACATAGAATCATAGAATGGTTTGGGTTGGAAGGGACCTTAAAGACCATCCAGTTCCAACTCCCTGCCATGGGCAGGGACACCCTCCACTAGACCAGGTTGCTCAAAGCCTCATCCAGCCTGGCCTTGAACACTTCCAGGGATGGGGCCTCCACAGCTTCTCTGGGCAACCTGTCCCAGTGCCTCACCACCCTCTCTGGGAAGAACTTCTTCCTGATATCCAACCTGAATCTCCCCTCTTCCAGTTTAAACCCATTACCCCCTGTTCTGTCACCACAGGCCCTTGTAAAAAGTCCCTCCCAGCTTCCTTGTAGCCCCTTCAGGTACTGGAAGGTGCTATAAGGTCTCCCCGGAGCCTTCTCTTCTCCAGGCTGAAACCCCCCAACTCTCTCAACCTGTCTCCATAGCAGAGGGGCTCCAGCCCTCAGAGCATCTTCATTTCAATACCCACAGACAAAATTCCTAAGTTGGTTTTTTTTTTTTTTTCCCTGCTTGGCATTATTAATCTTTTTTCTTCTTTAACTTACTGAAGATATAAACACCCTGAAATTCTCCACAATATTCAGTAATTTGAGTCTCCTGCTTGTTGAGATTCCAGGATGTTTAATATATGAACTGCATGAAGTTCCAACATGGCCAAGTACAAGGTCCTGCACCTGGATCGGGGCAATCCCAAACACACATAACAAATACAAGCTGTGCAGAGAAGGGATAGAGAGCAGCCCTGAGGAGAAGGACTTGGGGGTACTGGGGGATGAAAAGCTGAACATGAGCCGGCCGTGTGCACTGTCAGCCCAGAAAGCCAACCGTATCCTGGGCTGTATCAG